TTACCCAGTGGGAAGGATGTCGATGACCCCCTCTCTCTAGGGTTTTTTACAAGCAAGCTGATGGCGGGTTTGACTCCTTGGCATATGTCAGTACCAGTTTACCATCGAAACGAATTAATGAAAATCGTACAGGGACTTACTATATTCTATCGCAACTCTAAAAGTTATTCTGCTAGGCTACTGGCGTAACACTGTGTGTGTGTGTGTGCGTGTGTTGTACGGGTGTGTATCGAAACTCCTAGTTACATATACATGTTTATGATTATATACAAAACTAAGGTTATACAAAACAAAAAGTAATCCAGTTAACACAGAAAACAAATGGCGAAGTTCTGGAGGGCCGAACGAATTCTGCTCCACGACTTAACCGTAAAGAGTGGCTCTGGATCTTGGAAATGAGGAGAAATGCTTTTATACCCCAGTAGTCAGAGAACACTAAGATTGCAAAACTTTAAGGGGGTAAGGTGCCCGACGGCTGAACCGGGAGTCGAGGTACTGCATCATAATAACACAATTCTTCCTTACGCCATTTCTAACAAAAAACCATAAATCATTATTTGACATGTTATGTGACAATTTCTTGGATCAGTTCACACTGGCGAAATCGATTCCTTGTACTATACTAATTGCTACTTTTCACTGCTTCATACCTGCTAACAGCTTAATCTCTTTTAAAAAAAGATGTAAAATATTAACTAACACAAAATATCACACACCAACCTGTAGCACAAGCATTCCGAAAGTATTGCCAAGGATTTTATGGGTTTCGTTGTAATAGCAATAGCGAATGTGTGTCGAGGAGATGAACAAATCGAAGGGATCGTTCTCCTGAAAATAGAAACCACAACTGGCACCACGACAATAATAATAATAATAACAATGATAATAATAATAATAACAATAATAATAACAATAATAATAACAATAACAATAATAATAGTAATAATAGGAATGGTATTAGTAACAATAATAATAATAACGATAATAATGATGACAATAATAACAACAATGATAACAATAATAATAACAACAATGATAATAAGGAAAGAAATTCACTAAAATGACTAAAACCACTAATCCTAATTAGGCCAGGCGAACAAATACCTGTGTGCACACATAAACCCATGTGTATAATAGAAAGATATTTTGAAGTAGGAAGAAGAAAAAAGGAAATAATATTAAGAAATTAGTAAAAGTAGTAAAATTAATTTAATAAAATTATTATAACGGTAAGAGATGCTTCGTTAAGTCGTATACATTTCTTATCATTACCACAACTGAGTTTGTTACCGGTAGCCAATAAATTTTACATCCAGAGAGATGAGAAGGCGAGGGAAGAGGATGACGAAAAAGGGAAGAGGATCACGAAAAAACAATAACTGGCTGGAAAGTGACAATTTTTGAAAAGATTAAAACCGTTTTTGGGGTGCATTTCAAACAATGGCCATTCATTTAATAATTTAATAAGTTAATGCCATAAAAACTGAATCAAATTAAGCAAAATTCAGGAATTTCAGCAAACGCAAAAATAGGCTAAAAAAAACATATCACTCCAAGAATTCCTTTGACAGATTTTTTTTTAAAGAACAGGTAGGAATCGAACAAAAATACAAGTGACATCGAAAATCTCCTAGAAATTCCAAAAAACATTTTTTTTCCAACGATTTTTTTCACTGGCATCAAAAAAAACCCCAGAAATCCTGGAACATATTTTTTCAGAACCTTCCAATTGATGCCAAAAATATCCTAGAAATCACGAAAATCTTTTTTCCAACATTTTTTCTATTAGCATCAAAAAATCCTCAAAAATCCCGGAACAGATTTTTCCAATACTTTCCTGTTGGCGCCAAAAACCTCATAGAAACCAGAAAAATGATTTCTCCTAACACTTTCCCTGACTTCAAAACCAAAAAAAAAAAAACAAAATCCTTACGTTGGCATTCAAACGTCCATTACGCATCCGTCGTTTCAGTTCCTTCATTCGTTTTTTACGATGTGACGTGAAACCGAGCTCTTTTTTGTAGCACCACAGAACCGATGGACGTGCCGCCACAGTTGCTTTCGATAGAATATGATGCAATATGACAACCTGAATTCGAAAATAATTAGCCAAGGCACGGGCTGCCCATGCGAAGATGAGTTTTTTGCATAGTTCCCCGCAGTTTTTGTCGCTACCGGCATCGGTTTTTTCGGCAAATGCTTCTAGCTTAACAAATTAAGACTGGTCGCCAGAACTGTCAGAAAACACCCCCATAAAATTTCAGCTTTCTAGCTTTCCCAGCTCCTGAGTTAGCGACTTACTGGAAAAAAAATTTCATGGGCCCGTGCGTGTTTACCATGCATACCCGAGAACTGGGTGTGAGCTGAATGAAACTTAAGTGGACGGGATATATCCTCTTAAAATTACACTCCTTCAGCTTCTCAGGTAACTGAGTTAACAATTTACACGAAAAAAATTTTGGCGGGCTCGTACGTGGGTACCATGCGGGTAATGGCGCCCATTTTGGAGATTGGGGCCCGTACGTGCATGTAGATTAAGTTCCCAAAGTTTTAGCCCTGTTGCTTTTGCAGGTCTTGATCCAAAATACAAAATTTTAGAAAATCTATGCCGACGTGGAATCCCCGGTTTTTTACCTGATCTTTTCCTTTATCACCAACAACCACAAACATCGAACGATGCCCAGTGTTGACGCCATTTTCGATTACAGTTCGAATACGATTATCCAAT